CATATGGCCAACGCTGTCAACCAATACGATTTGAAGTATACGCATGCCGTCCATTTAAACTGTTCGTCCTAGTGTTTAAGACACATAGCAAGGTTCTCACTGTTTGCTGGTAGTTACTGAAAATGGTACTGGGAAAATGAATAGATTGCAGAAGAGGAATTACTAGTTTTGTTTCCTGTCCAATTTTCTGTGGTTTCCGATGGACATACCATACTGTCTGCCCAGGACTCTGAGCTATGAATTCAGGTGGAGGTGGAACTGGATGAGTACATGGATTAACAAGCAAAGCGCCACCAAGCCATCATGTATGGCTTGATGCAGACTCACGACTTCCAAAGAGTTAAGCTGTTGCGCCTGTTGTACACAAATGAAAAGGATGTGACATTTCATGGCGACATGGCTGTAAGGACTGACTGTCGTCAGCTAACACATTTTGCGAGCATTAGCGCCTAGTATTGACAAGATTATATGGCACTTAAAAATGCATTAATCAAATTGTGTTAACTGGCAAGTCTTAAAAAAACGAAACTAAAACACAAACCCTCTTAGTATATGTCCCAGTTTTCATAGAACAGAATATTCTATTTGATGCTGAGGGAAAATTATTCTATGTTGATGACTTACTATTCATGAATATATAAAAAAAGAAATAGCAAAGCTTCTGTAAAAAAACATCTTTTTCTTTGGGAATAGATAGTGCCAAAATAATGCCATTTTGTGTGTATTGACTGCATTTTGCTTAAATAAGCTGGTCACATGCAGTCTTTTCTCTCCTTCTTCCGCAGCCTACCCATGTAATGAGGAATACAAAGATATGTATTTTCAATCAGACCTTTATTTACTGTTGAAGGGATACTGCGAACAAATAGTTAATTGCAAAAGAGTGTAAAAATAAAAGACGTGATCAATACTGTAACAAGTAAAAGGAATTGCAGATGCAGAATTTCATTAGGAAGAAGTTAAGCAGAAATCAGTTTTACTTGGATATGACAAAGGTATTAATTACAGTTGCTTGGATACTAATAATATAATAATTTGTAAACAAAAATCCAATTTAAAACAAGTTCAGCGCAAATAAGTTGGTAACTGAAGAGTGAAGAAGCATCATGCAATTTATAGGAATCTCTCTTGTCTTAGGACAAGTCCAGCCAATTCGCGAACAAGTTGTTACTGATCCTATATATTATAGTATATTATTCTGTTACTGTTTGTTTTGTTGTTGGTTTTTTTTAAATTCTGGCAACGTGTAGAGTCTTGTCCTCTGTGATTTGACTGATACTTATTATTATTGCCTGTCTACCTGCAACTTTTGGTATAATACTTCAGAGTCCCAAAGACAGGAACTTGTTTCTGTTTGCATAGAGCATCATGACAAACATCCTGGGTTTTATAGATCAAGGTATTCAGCCACTGGCTGGTGATTTCTCTGGCCTGTGATCAGGTGCTCTCCTTCCTAGAAGGCCATTGGCATCAAAGGATGGGTCAGATATGTTGCTTTGACAGTAGTCTCCTGCTTGTGGTCATTTTCTTTTCCAAGGGCTTTATGGTTCCTCCTCATCTTTTGATGGGCTGTCTTGTGGTAAAAGAAGAGCTATGGGTCTCCCAGGAAAGCTGGCAACCAGGAGTGGGGCTGCCACTGCTGGAACGATTAATCCTGCTCCCTGTGCAGATACTCATGAATTGCTCCAGTGGTTGCAACCTGCTGTCGGCTTCTTCCTTCCCAAGAGCTCCTCAGGTGCTGGCACACAGGCAGGACATGTGTGCGTGTGTCTGTGTGTCTGTGTGTGTTGCAGTTGATCTATGGGTGTGTAGTAGATCCAACATTTTGGGAAAGGGTCTTGACTCTGTGTGGGCAGGTGGATGTACAGTGTTTTCACGGTAGGTATGGGCGTGATCCAGAGGTGGAATCACAGCATGTGCTTTTCTTCCAGCCCCTCGAAACAGGTAGGTCATCCACCCAGCCGGAAGGCCAGGGGACTCCTGGTGTAGGGTTTCCTTTTTGCTTTCATTAAAACAGAAAACATGCCAAAACAATGAAGAGATCCTCATGTAAGGGAACATTAAAGCTTTCAGCATTAATTAAGCACTCAGAAGATGGGATAAGACAATTAATTAATCATACATATGCAACTCTTCTCCCCGTTGCACTGGAAAAATTGCTTTCCTTTAACTTAAATTATTATACACTAATTGCTTAATGTATTACAGTATTTTTTTCTTTATGTTTTTAGATAATTGCTTTTAGCAACAGGTGATAGAAACTAAATAGGAATTTTGCATTCAGAACCTTCTACTCAGCATATTAGATATGGCGGACAGGATGAAAAACAAATTAAATCTTGTGAAAAGTTACACAAGCTGACCTTAATGGACGGTGACGATGTCACTGTTCTTATAGACTGGTCACAGTGTGGCCATGTAAGCACATTTATTATTGTCTGAGCATGCTCGGTATTTTCTTTGTATTGAAGAATAGGAAACAGTTTGCTAGGTAAAATGGTTTGGTAAAGGCCTACTAGGGCTGCATGAATGAAACCAACAACTGTCTTTCAACTCGTACGTAGCCTTTATTTAATGTATTTGATATTATTTTGAATAGAACGCCTCTGGTGGGGAACTCACTTGACATATCGTGAAAAAAATAAAAATCTTGATAAATCCTGCATATCCTGGGAGAACCTTCCCATCGCATCAGCAAAGGCACATGGTATTTCTGATGCTGTAGGAAGTTCCATACAGACCAGTCTCTGAGGCTGTAGAGAGCCCTGCTCATAAGAACATAATCACACAAATTCCGCCCACAGACAATTTTTTTAAAGCATTTTAGTTTTCAGCTGTTGTCATTGAGATTTGGGAGTCACCGACGTTGACATTTATACTTGTTTGTGCTGGAGAGCTGTTGAACACAGGAACATAACGTCCAGTGAACCAGTGCATGGCAATGGTTTTTCTGTGTCACTAGATTGTTAAGTAAAGCACAACAGTACCCTAAAAACTTTTGGTTTCTCTCTGTCATCCAGAATAAATTGCATAAAATATGAATGCTCGTATTCATCATTGTTCTGCTGCTTTACAGTGTTAAGATTTTTTATATTGCGTCATAGCTGATCATGATAGTAGCCACTGTGAGCATGTGGACTCCAACTTTTTGGAGTCATCCTGATCCTGCGAAGAATTATGCATGCACATAGCTTTATGTTGCTTAAATAATCTACTGGATGGGAATAGCACAATTTTCCATAAGATGAAGAAGGGTGAAGAAGTAGTAGTAGAGTACTAAACTAAGGTAAATAAGCACTTTGTTAGTGTCTCTAGGTAGTATCTCACAGTACAATCATCTTCTTAAAACATGAAAAATATTCCAGCAGTTACCTGGACCTGACTTTTTTTTTAACGTACTGACTGATATTTTGCTGAGAGAATAGCCCGTTGGCTAGCTGAGTTACCATCTTATTTCATTAGGTGGTATTTGGAACAGGACGTGCTGTCTTTGGGTGGTAACTGGTAGTAAAAGCTGGCTATTTTGGGGCCACTGAAGGACAGTATGGTGGTATTACTGCTCTTTGCAGCCTGTTGGCATCAGTAGTTTTCCTTCACCTTAAACACCTCTGATCAAGGGCTTGGCATGGAACCAGTGGAGCTCTGTGCATATGGAAGTACCTCAGCAGGGCACATTTATTCTTCAGCAGTTTACTTTTTGGGGAATGTGCCTGTGGTCACACAGGGAATGTTTCCCTCGCAGATGCTGAGGGTGCTCTGCCCTGGCAGCAGCCGGAGAGGTCGCGGTTTGGGTAACCTTGTCTTATTGTGTGACATGGCTCTAACTTATTTGTAAATGAGACCAAATGCCAGATGCATCAAATAAATTAATTATTTCTAATAAGTTGGGTTGTATTTATTGTACAGCGGGAAAACAGAGAAGTTGTTTCTTTTTAAAATACGTGCACCTTGTCACAAAAAGCTTCAAATTACTTATATTTATTTTTTTTTAATTAGGCACTGAGTAACCTATTCAATACTGTCTCATTCATGAAGTGAGTTCTTCAGGAAAAGAAATCCTGTCAGGTGCAGCAGACAAAGCTATGAGCAGCATTGGTGCTGTTAATGACTGAGAGAATGACTGCAAGGGTTGTAAAATGACACGTTATTATCTAGCAGGCATTGATCATAATTGTATCACTGATAAAGGCAAAACATATCAAATGTTGTGTTTTAAATATGCCCTTCAATAAAAGAAAAAAAAAAGCCATTGAAATAATTTCAATGA